GAAACTGCCAGCAGAACAAGCTCTGATCTGAAAACTAGGAAGGTCTTGTCAGCTAGGTGGTGAATCGAACTTGCTTTGAGTAGATATTAGATAGTGGGCGTCTCATGCTCAGCGTGGCCACAGAGCCCGGGCATCACGACTACTGCTTTGCCTATTTTCTCCGGTCATCTGCTAAACGCAACATGTGCGACAAAGAAATCTCTTGTCATTCATGGAAACAGGAAAAGACACATCTGTCATGGACAACGCAATCTGTACAACTTGTCTCTGCTTAAGAAAGGCCTCTTCTACCCACCCTTCATTACTTTTGGCCTCTGGAACTGTCAATCTGCTGTGAATTAAAACTGAATTCATCCAAGCACTTGCAAAAATGTCAGACATTCAGGCACTTGCCTTACTGAAACCTGGATCCGCCCAGAAAACACAGTCACACCAGCTGTCTTCTGTTGACACAGTGTTCTCACACACACACCCGCTCTGTTGGACGTGAGGTGGTACAGGTATCCTCTTCCTAATACCTGGAAATTCAGTAAATCTCTGACACAAACTCCTCATTGAATATCACACAATCTTGGTTACTGCTCCTATTAAAATGTACATTGCTATCATTTACCGCCCACCAGGGCAGAAGACATATATATATAATTAGTTTTTTTCTACATGTAAGCTTATCACATCTCAGCTGCCTGAACCTTATTTTGGGAGCAAAAAGGGAAAAAATCTGTGTGGTGAGCACTGCCACTATGACCTTGGTGTTTACCTCCACAGGAATGAGCGCGAGCAAATGAGCGCCTACTCTCAGTTACAACTCGTTGCAGCAACTTTGATGAACATATATCTGGTAACATGGTCTTAATTGGGGTACAGGCCTCGCTGCAGGCATGGATGGAGTGAAGGCCAGTGTGCATTCAAAGGGGGGGGGGGAGGGGGAGAGATGCAGCACCTTAAAAGCTCAATATTATCACCCCGTCACACATTACCAGGAGGGATCACTAAAGGCAGATTCAAGCACTTCTTTCAAATATGTAAGTCTAAACATTACAATCTATTAATTCTATTTATTGGTCCTTAATCCAATCAGGATATGGTCTGGAGTGGTAACAATATTCACACAAATGTTCTGAGCACAGCAGGTGAAGGCACACAGCAGAGGTTATAATAGATGTTATGTGCCATGCGTGTATTTTCTAACCTATATTTCAATAATAATCACTCACTGAAACATTAAACACTTTCAGCTCTCATGGCTCTTGGCTGATGGCTTAGAGGAGACTTTTTTTCTGACCCAAAATAGGTCTGAGAATTGAAGCAACACTCGTTTGGCGTTCTATTTGATAATTTAATTTGTGTTTTCCCTTGTTCCACTTTAGCTTGAGCCAGGCCCAATGTTGAAACACAACACCAAGGTCCTCTGTTTCACCACAGAGCTCAAACAATCTCAAAGTCGTACATTGCATCAGGAGCTGTACGACTCTGAGATGAGAAGCATGTGAAAAAAAAACCCAAAGCAATTCCCTTCAGAAAAAGCCTGCACAGGAAAATAAACCTCCGGTCGAGGTTTGATTTGCCACTTCTTTTTTTGTCTATTTGTTTTTAAAAACGCAAGTTGTACTGCTATTGGACATTTAACCACATCATAGAATTGCATTCTTTCCAGGTCATTTAACTCCTTACATCCAGACTGATGCGTTTCTTGCCGGGAGCTTTGGTCCTGTCTCTGAGTATCACTCGCTCACCACCCTCTGAGTGCAGGTACTGCAGATAGCTCTCACAGCCCTCAGCTTTCTCTGGAGGAAGAACCACTGTCAACACAAGAGGAAACATTTGAGTTAGACACAACAACACTGACATGAGGCAACATTTTGTGTAGTTTAATTTACTTTTACTTTACAGAAAATCAGCCCAAAGAAACCAAAATGTCTTGATGTCGGACTTTGTGGCCTTTAATAGCTAAAATGAAATTACAGAACATGTCTAAATGTACATGTTATTATGCTTCATACTTCTACACATTTTTCATTTTTGAGCCTTTATTGTGATAGGATAGTGTCAGAAATCAGAGGAGAGAGAGAGAGAGTGGGAATAACATGGGAGAAAGGAGCGACAGGTCGGGTTTGAACCTGGGCCGTACACTTGTACAGTAGGACCTCCATACATGGGGTGCTTGCACTAACCTACACCCCCATACTTCTACATGAGGTTAACCTGAATTGATGCCACGGGCCTGTGCATTTGGAACATTCAACAATCCAACACTTGTATATCTTGTGAAGAATAATTACATATTAATGTTTGTTTAATGTTTATCATGCAAATTAAACTACTAAGTATCTTGAAGATATGAACGTCTACAGTGATATCATACAGCTCTCTGCATATGAATATATACCAGCTTCAAGGTTACATTATATTTTCTTTCCAGCCTGAAATAATGCTCAAGGTCCGTGTAGCACAAGCATAATCCTTATCAATGACGCTACAATACCCTTCTCATCTTACCCTCTAGGGGACAGTGTTGATCTGCGAGTCGTCCTTCCTTCAGCTCACCATTTGCAAACCCCTGGGACAAGGGAAGAAAAGACATGAGGAGAGGAGGGGTCAGAGATGTAAGTGAATCTACAGTTCAGACCACAGACAGAGAGAAAACAAACAGTTCCAGCTAAAGCATTTCCTACTCAGATGAGGGAGCGAGAGGGGCTGGAGGCTCCAGGGCGACCAAACACTTTGAACATCTGCACGCTTATTGTGTTTCACTCTCTGGGACACAGTGAGGGCGACCAAGGCCAAGCTTTCAAGATCTCTCCAAGCTCCCTTCAGACTTGACCCCTCTCATATCCATTCAAATTACCCATGATGCACTTCATCATCTGAGCTCTCTCTCCCTCTCTGCTTAAGTTAATCTTTTTATTCTCATGCTGCTTGAGTTGGACAAGGGAGAAGAAGCTCAAAGTTTGGAAACATCTTGTTGCGTTTCTTATTGAAAATTGAACTCTGGGAAGTTTGGTTTATATAAAACAAGCCTCACAAAGAGCTCCAAGCTACATGTGTGTATTTATTTTGAACAGAAAATAATTGCCAGATGGAAATTTCCACGCACAAAGGATGGGACTGATTAAAAACACAATCCCATAGCCATAAAACAAAAGCAGGACAAAGGGGTAGAAGGGGGGGGGGGGGGTTACTGTCATATGTGAATAATCTATATCCTACATATAGCAGAACCACAATGTATTCAAATCAAATCCATCCCACATATGTTTTATTGCACAGGCATGTTCTATTGAAAAGGCAACTGGGCCTCTATGCTGGACACACACGCACACACACACACACACACACACACACACACACACACACACACACACACACACACACACACACACACACTTTCTTTAATTACCACTGGATTGTGGAAACAATGAAAATTAAGTGCAGCACAGGCCCTAAACCACAAGTATTTTAACAATAAATGATTCATCTTATTTACGTCATTCTCAGGCCTCTAAGCTGATCTGCACACACTTTGAAATAAAATCCCTCCAGATTGAATCAAGGAGGCCCACCGAAACGGGACAAATAAAAAACAGATAGATGCTTGAAACAAAAGAACTCCGTGTACCTTCAACAGAGCCCCGGCTCTAGCCAGAGTCTGAACATCTGCATGCGTTTAGGTGAACGAGCCCCCCCACCGCCCTCCTCTCCTTTCTTTTCCTTCCCCTTCCCCTCTTTCTTTCTGAGAGTAATGTCAGCGCCAGGGCCTGTGGTTCTATTTAACAATCTCTCAGGCCGTGATTATTCCTCACTTCAGAGGATGATACCTACAGCCTGTAATCTAGCCCTGACCTTCACCGCTGAGGGAGGTGGTGGGGGGGGGGACGGTTGAGTGTCAGGGTCAAGGCTCGGACACCCCTCTGTAAATTGGCCACCGGAGGCATTGAGGGAAAACAGTCAAAGACGGGGAGACGAAGGGAGAGCAGGAGAGGAAAACCAGGGAGGAGGCAGGAGGAATAAATAAGACAGAGTGGAGTAAAAAAAAAAAAAGGGGAAAAGGAGCCAAGGAGAGATAAGAAGAACAAAGATGGCAGAGGAGAGAAGCAGATAAGAGGAGAAGCACAGAAGGATGTGGTTTGTTAAAGGGAGATATGGCCTATCTATTTCTGAGTGGGAGAGGTGGAGGTGTTATTTCTTTTCTAACAGATTCCTGAAGACTTCTGGGGAAGTTGGAGACAACTGGTGCCGGTCCCTGGGCCACAAACAAGCAGCAGTCTTTAATCAACACACACACACACACACACACACACACACACACACACACACACACACACACACACACACACACACACACACACACACACACACACACACACACACACACACACACACACACACTATAAACCAGGCAAGCGCATGTGCATCCCTTTACAAAAAAACACACTCATTTTCCGTCTTCTGTGGTTTCTCCAGTGTTTCCTATTTGCACTGGATGCTTTTATCTCCCTCGCTTTGTACCACAGTCCCTTAATGAAGGGCAGCATGTAAGAGAGAGGAGGTTCACACACAGACACACACTGTTCTGCAGCTCGGAGGAACATCAAAGACAAACATTGATTCCTCTCATCCTTCTTCCCATAAGGCCACCGAGCAAGGTGTGAGCACCTCGAAATGAAAGACGGCGTTAAATATAACGAAACAAATCAATCAACCCGACTGCCAAAAGCGTCTCTAATTAAAATCTCAGATATGAGGAGACGTCTTGCTGTGTGCATGAAGAGGGGCCAGCGGGGCCTGTGTTAAACACATGGCTTCTTAACTCGCTCCACCAGCAGCAGCACCACCACCTCCATGCTCATTACATCCTTTGGGGGAGCTAATGAGAGAGAAGGCTGGGTCCGACCGCAGTCTGCAGTTTAACGTCTAAACACATGGCATCTCCATCCGCATCGCCCACATCTGCCCATCACATGTGTAATTAAGAGCGCTCTGGCATCTCGCAGCTCTCATTCTTTCGCTATCAGATCACAAACTGCTCTGTCGGTAAATGTGTTAGCATTTTAGAGTAAAGTGGGCCTTGTTTTTCCACCAGTGAAAAAAAAACACATGAAAACGCTGATAGAGAAATAGAAAAGTGTGGTGTTAGGAACGGGGGCGAATGATGGAAAACCACATGTGAGACACAAGATACTCGTCTTAAAAAACAGAGCATTTGAAATATGTGCTGACAGCGCTCCATGCAAACAGAGACACCTCGACATTAGAGACAGACAGAGGTGTGTGTGATGTTTGTTCCTGTTTAATGCAGCAGTTCTGCCAAGCTTCCCTAAAGCCTCAGCCTGCTGCCAGACTTTTATGTGGGATAGGGTAACCAGGGGAAGCTTTCATAGCTCCCTACCAGGTGACATCAGACATCCCCCAGCAGTCTCTCTCTCTCTCTCTCTCTCTGCCTGCCTGCTACCCATCCTCCCACTGGAAAACACTGCACATCTTTGTTCCCACACCCCCCCTTCGAGCTCACCTCCTAAATATACACACACATGCTTCTTTTAGTCCATTCTTCAAACCATACCATTTTTTTAAGAGCACACACATCTTAGGTAGATGTATAAACTCTTGGTTTGCTGGCTGCCTTTACATTTTTTGTTGTTACCTTTATGCTTTTTTTATTTTCCAATTCTTATGATTGTGACTCCTGCTCTACATCTGCACTATTTCAATGTATAATTTTGTATCAAGTGTGGAATATGTTGAATATGAATATGAAAAATATCTTCAAAAGCAGGTGAAGGTTGTTTACTGAGTTCCTCTGGCCTCAGGATATGAAATACAGCAAGTCGACCGGATGCGTATCCGATTACAAACATATGCTCGAGAGCAAAAAACAAAACAGGATATTGTTTCTATTCCTTTTGGTATGATTTAAAGCTTTTTGGCCTTCTGAAATACTTTGGTTTTAACATGCTTCTTCCAGTACATTTCTTAGTAGGTTCCACAGCTTTGCATTCAAATCTATGCTGTGTGCCTTTAAAAAAAAAAAAAAAAAAAAAACACAAATGCCTTTATGTTGTAATAGTTACTCATGACAAGCTATCTCAGTTATTTCCTGTATTCAATGCAGAGAGTGAGTGAGTAACAGAAAAAGTAAGAGAGCTCCACGATGTAGAGTTAAAGTAAAAACTCAAAGGGAACTGACACTTTGGAGGGCGACACAGGAAAGCCTTGACGACCACCAGCCGAGCAGCAGACCAGCTCATTCCTGGATGATAATTGGGTATGACTGTGTAGCTGCCCAATGATGAAAATGAGGATTGAGTACTATCAATACAAAGAAAAGGGACACCAAATCGTAAACAAACAGCATACTCTCCACCGCAGTATGTAACTGGAGAGGGAGTGGGGGCAATTGAGAAATAAAAGCCCTCCATTCCACAAAAAACCAACCTGGCCTTGACTCAAAACCAGATGTGAGCGGTTATTCTGAAGAGGGGTAGAGGAAGAGAGAGGGAGAAATGACGGGTAGGGAAGATGGGGGGGGAGGAGACGCTGAAGAGAAAAAGCCGGTTGCACAACTTCTGTCTCTTCTCTCGCAAGACAGCAAAAGAACAATTACTGTGCTTTCACACATGCACAAAAATCTTGAAAACTTCCTGAAATTTCCAGGGTGAGCTGAATGTGGGAACAAAAACAGTCGACTTTTTCTCTTCAACTTAACCTGGATATTTTCTTGCTGCCCGGTAGTAAATTTGGGAGAGACGATGTGGGAACGCAGCAAGAACATATTCTGGAAAATACACTACAAGTGAATGAAAAGGGTGATGAACATATTTTGGTCGGGGGTTTGTTCTTCTCTGCTGGGGGCTGGGAACACATACCCCTCCCTACCAGTAGGTTCTTCTCTGCTTTTCTGTTATTATGAATATGTCAAACTACAGGTGGCATTGAGATAAAAGCAAAAAAAATGTCATCATACCGACCAACTCTGTTGCTTCGTCTACCACTTCCACAACGCTCTTTGTATATCAAATCTCTTCCCCTTGCCTTCTGAGATTCCTCCTCCTCCTCACCCAGATTGTCTGCTCTCAGTGGATTTTCCTGGCTACTTTCAAACATCTGCTCACGCGTCTTCTTGTAGAAATGATGACAGACAAAGTCGTGGCGCAAAATGAGCCTGTTTGCATTCACACATGCAGCTCACTCCCAAAATTGGAAGAATTTCCAGGAGTTCTGAACATGTGTTTTAAAAAAGGCTATCTGCCTCTGTTTGGTTAATAAGAGCTCAGCTTTCAGTCCAAGTCAGGGTAATTATGGGGCTCTTTGTCAACAGAGCACATTGGCCTCAGCTAGTAATGAGTAGCAGAAGTAAAATAAACAGTGCTACACAAACTACTGGATGTGAATGAGCCGTATCCTCATCATGCTCACATAATAAAAACAAATGCTCATAGACGGTCTTTAAGATTAAGTTTGTAATTGATCTTCTATTATCACGACTGAGCCAAGGAGCCTTAATGAAGGTCTGGGGCATTTCCAAGTGTTTTTCAAAAACAACCACCTTACCTTTTGAAT